CCGGGGGAGGGCGCGGCCGGGGCGGAGGCGACTCGGACAGCGCGTCGGTGGCTTCGTCGTCCGCGGAGGAGGAGAGCAGCAGCGGGGGCTCGGTGACCCTGGACCCTCTGGAGCACGCCTGGATGCTCTCGGCCTCCGACGGCAAGTGGGACAGCCTGGAAGGGTTGCTCACCTGTGAGCCCGGCCTGCTGGCCAAGCGGGACTTCATCACCGGCTTCACCTGCCTGCACTGGGCCGCCAAGCACGGCAGGCAGGAGCTCCCGGCCATGCTAGTCAACTTCGCCAGCAAGCACCAGCTGCCGGTGAACATCAACGCCAGGACGAGCGGGGGCTACACCGCCCTGCACTTGGCAGCCATGCACGGGCACGTGGAGGTGGTGAAGTTGCTGGTGGGGGCTTACGACGCAGACGTGGACATCAGGGACTACAGTGGGAAAAAGGCCTCTCAGTACCTGAGTCAGAGCATCGCGGAGGAGATCAGGAGCCTGGTGGGAGCCCCGGACGAGGACGACGGGGAGAGCGTCGCCGGCAGCGGGGGTGGGCGCTGGAGGCTTTCAAAGGTGCTCCCGTCGCATCTCATCACCTACAAACTCTCTCACGTCCTGGAGGATGGGGGGAACCACCACCACCACCACCACCACCTCCACCTCCACCTGGCTGAGGGATGGGCCGGAAGCAAAGCCAAGGATCCAGGTCGCAAAGCCTCGGGCGGCTCTAGTGGGCGGATAAAACCAAGACTCAACAAAATCCGCTTCCGTACCCAGATCATCCACACCACACCCTCTTTCAGGGACCCGGAGCAGCCGCTGGAGGAGGGGGAGGAGGAAGAGGAGGAGCGGTCACTTAAAGGCCACTCATCTTCATTCAAATTGAGACCGAAGTCCAATGTATTTGGGTAAAAATAATTTCTTTTAGAAAGCGCTAAGGTTTATTTGTCTTCAGGAATAGAATGTTAGGTTTGATTAAAGAAGTGAGACCAGAAAAGACTGAGAGGCTAAACTATGCATTCTTATTCGAGGGGTTGGAACGGGTGGGGAGGAGTTCCCTTCAGGCTTGCATTCTGTGAGAAGTGGATTTCTTTTTAAGGGATTCATCACGCAGGACCTCTGCCTCTTTTCCCCATTGCTCCTCTCTGCCGTGGAGTCCCTGTTTGTGAGGACTACAAATGTACCTAAATTGGGGGAACAGAATCGATGACCTAGGGTTCCTTTGCTTTATCCATTACTGGATGCCATGCAAAGTAAGGAGTACTGTAAGGAGTGTCTGTTTTTATACTTGATCACTCTTCCAAGAACAACAAAAAATGCAAATTTTAATGAAATTGGTATTTGTAAGTGAACAAAACTACATGCTGCCCTGTTTTTTCACTAATTGCATTCACTTTTTGAGGTACTACTGAAGGTCGAGTCAGAGTTGAAATGCAAAAGTACTAATTAGAGAATAATGTGAATAAAAATAGGAATCTTGTTGGTACCCTATTTGTAATGTAAGTTCAATTATTATTTTTAAAAAGCAATTTCAGTTTTAATCACTGAACTAGACAGGTAGGCAACAGTCACTTTTGAGTTAATCTGTAGTATGGTTTTCACCTATCTTTAACACCACTGCACTCATTGTTAAGGTACATACTAAACGAATTTTTATTTAAAGAAAAGAATACTTTTAGCAGCCTATGGTACTTTTAAACAAAATATTGCCTGTCGTTCTGATTCTCACTAACTTACTATTCTAAAAGTCTAAATTTGCAGGGGTTTTTATTCTGGGGATCAGGTAACCATTGGTTCTATTTGGCATAACTTTATTTAATGGTGCTTAGAGCTGAATTACCTACAGAAACTGTTTCTAGTTTAGACAGCAAAAATTGACATAAATATTAGTGAGCCTGTGCTTCTGTGAAGTAATTATTAAACGAACTTAAAGATTCTCATGTAAGAGAGACTTTTTATTTTTCTAGTACCTTGTGGCCTCTAGGCTTTGTACCAACCTTTTGCAGAAGTTTAAAGTGCTAAGTCCTTTTGATTTTCCAGTGTTTCCTTGAATATATTAGATACATATGGTGTAGTTACTGAAAAGCTGGGTAGTAAATCTACCCAGTTAAAAATGGCACTTTATAAAAAAAGAGAAGAAAGTGGTGGGACTGTTTTCTACATTTAAATGCTGCTGGCTATTGAATTTCTTTGTGTATAAGTGAAAAATATCACTCACTAAAATTAAAGACTTGTTTTAAGTGTGGTTCTTAATTACATTTCATTGATGTTAGAGTAAATGGCTTTATAATTAATTTAAAATTTAACTCACAAGCATATTAAATCGGTTGGTGACAAGATTAGAAACAAGTTTTTTGGGGGACTAATATGAGTAAGTCCTTCTACTGTAGTCTTTTTGGTCTCATGACTGCTGAAACCTAAATTCCTACAGCCTGCAAAAGTGAATGAACCCATGTATGAACTGCACAGAGCTGCAGCATTTAGGGTCCTTAGATGTTTAATTTTCCAAGTCATAGAAATTTATAACAAGTTTGTCATATCTCTCTCTAGATGGTAATTGAATTCGTTTAAAGATGGATGAAGAATAGTCACAAAGTATACAAACTATTATCCATTTTGTGCCTTTACTTTTGTTTTAAGATTATGGAAATGGACCATATACATTTGAGAAGCACTTTTATCCATACATATGGGTGAAAAATCAGTCTAATTTTGGATGAATTAAGAATAAGTTCTGAACGCGAAAGCATTCATTTGTTCTGAATCTATACACGTTACCTGTGTCTAGTGCAGAATAAGCTATAACTTCCCATTGAAGAATCGTAAATTTTATAGACATGTAAAGCTAAAGTAACTGTAGAGTAGACACTTCAGAACCAGCTGAAATTTCTGTTGAACAATCAGTATTGATCTCTTAAATGTATATGTTGGTAACTAATTGCACAAAATCTATAATTTGCTAAATCTTTAGAGATTGAGTCAGTACATCATTTAACTTGCTTTTCACACTAGATACTTTGCCCTTTCCAGTAAAATAGTACTTTAAATTTTCAAACATCATTCCTGACGGGAACTACTTCTAGCATTCCTTGTCATGTGCTTTTTGCAGTAAGTGGAGCATTTTCAGCTACTTAACTCTACATTCCTCTTATTTTTCAATTTCCAAATTGAGATTAAGAAGCAAATGACTTGTGTTATTTGCTACTCATAAAGTTGTGCTTAATGGAAATATATATGCCAGATACTTACATGTTTATTGATATGAGACCATGTGGTTAAAAAACCCAAGTATGTCCTTGTGTTTCTTATAGGAACACTTGAAACTGGTGAATGTCACAATTATCTTAACTTTCATGGTATGTAAAGTGCAGCTAACTTAAATAACTTGAAAATCTGGTACTATTTTATTCATGTGTGAAATCTTGGAGTCTAGGACGCCTTGCCTGTCATTTTTTAAAGGAGTGAAAGTTTGGGAGTTTGAGAATATAAAATCTGTTCGTAAAATTTGTTTTGTCAAAATAAAAAGTTCACACTAGAATTGTTTGCCAAACTGTGTAAATTTTTGTAGTCCTTTAGACTTTTTACATGTACGGTGTTGTACGGTTTCTAACATGGTTTTTGAAGTTTAAATTTATTTGACTGCTTTTCTATGCCTTGAGGTTATGGGCCATATACCCCTAATTCACAGATAAGAGAATGAAGGTTGACAGCTGTTTAGAGTCACCGAGTAAATGGCATTTAGTAAGATCTTAAGAATCATTGATTTTCCACAACATCATCTTTTCTGCACTTTGAATTGCCAGATTTTGGGGAAAACTGCTGTAGTTTGGTACCAGTGATGGAGGAATCAACTTGGAGAGAAGGTAGTACCTCCACCACTACCTTTGGAAAAAACTGTATGGGTCATGCAGATACCTTCTGCCATAAACTCTCTGTACCCAAAGCTGACCTCAAGAGGAGTTTGGAAATGCCTTTTTCCATCTTCTTCAACAACCACTAGTCATTGGATGTTAATGAATCTATTTCCTTGTCAAGGCTGCCTTTGATCTATAATTTAACAAAATTCATTTCTATCCAATGACAAAGGGATGTGGGAATCCTTGGTGTAACTGAATCCTTGGTGTAATTGTCCACTATTGCTCCTTCCTAGGGAGATCCCAATATGATTGTTATTGGGGTTTTGTTGTTTAATGTCAATCCATAAAATATTTTTTAGGGGCCGGCCTGGTGGCGCACTGGAAAGTGCGCCGCTTGGGAGCGTGGTGGCGCTCCCGCCGAGGGTTCGGATCCCATGTGGAGACCGGTTCCCGCTCACTGGCTGAGCGTGGTGCGGGCGCAACACCGAGGGTTGCAATCCCGTTACCGGTCAGTAAAAAAGACAAAAAAGGGGAAAAAAAAATTTTTTTTAGTATAACTGAAGGACTAGATAAGAAATTTGTTTCTAGAATGACTCCTTTCCCTGGAATTATATATCTTAAAAGGATTCATTGAGCAGTTCACTTAAAGATATCTTTGAGATTTTTCTTAGTGAAAACTTATTTTGTTAACTAAATAGCATTAATTGGAGTTCCTTGTATGGTTAATCCCAAAATTACTCTGGGGATTTGCAGTGTTCCTTCAATGATCAGTCAAATCTTCATAAAATACTTCATATTAGAGAGCTAGAAGATGACTATGTGAACTTGTTTCTCAAGATATAGCAGTAGGGTTTTATATTACTACCTGCTTTTCCCCCTGAAGAACAGCACTTTCATATCAGCATACTTTTATCTTCTTAATCTTCTCTTTAAGTGTCAGTTTCTTCTCAGAAAGTGGCTTCCTATTCTGTTAACAAATTGTCTGTTTTCCCACATTCATGTGTTGGTGAGGAATGTGTGACAGTTGCCCCACCCTTGCACAGTGCCAGGCATCTTGAGGGTCCTCCATCAGTGGGTCTCTTAATGGTGCTCTTCATAGCATTTCATAATTCAGCCAACAGCAAGCATTCATACTAAGTGAATAAAGGTAAGTATTTTTCATACACATGGCTCTTAAATGCCAGCCAACCACCTCCTCTGCAGCTCAGCCGAAAAACCCCAGCAATTCCAATCCTAGAAGTAAAATCGGCTTTATTAGGGCCTTACTCTGTGAGGGATTTAGGAGATTTTCAAGAATAAATTTGATTATAAGAAAGTTTTACCTCACAAGCAGACTTAAGTACGTAACCCTTAGGAAGATCTACTCTAACTGGCCTTAAGTATTCTAAGTACTGTCAGGTATACAGATGACTCCAAATTCTGTGAAACCCTAAAGAGCACATGAATAAAGAAATGAAGTTTAGTTTAGCATAGAGAACTTTCTAATAATCACTGTAAGCATGCCATGGACTGCCTCGTGAGTCAGAACACTCGGCCTTTGGAAATAATGGGTCAGCGGTTCAAAAGCACCTGAAGAGTTAAAATCGATCATTTTAAAGCACACTTGTGAGGATTCTATCTCAACATACATCGCTATAGGCCATATCCATTCTGACCAAAGCTTTTGCCAAACATGGCCTGACTTTGAAGTCAACCAGCCCTTCATCAGTGAGGTAAAGCAGGATCATAGGAGGTTTTATTTTTTCAACCCACCTTTATGCTGTTCTAATCAAAGGACCTGGAAGCCCCTATTAGAATGCTCTTCTGGGTCTCTAAGGAACTGAATTTAATAGTCTAGAAATATAGTTGATCATTTTTGAGTGTGTCCCAAAGTTTCTGATATTAATAAATGTGATCCTTGAGTTTGCATTCAAGAGGCAATTATTTTGTTGTAGTCAGCAGTTCAGTACTGTGGCTGCGTGCTGAGTCTCCACGAAGGGGAGCCTAAACTTGGCTAAGGATTTTCTTTGGCTTTCTGAAAATGGCTAATACTTCCAGGAAGCTTACGAGTGTGCCAGGTGAGGTTTTAAGCTCTTTATAAAAAGTAAGCTGTTTAATTTTCACAATACCCCCTCCCCATTGGATTCTGGTGTCACTGTTCTACAGATGGGGAAATCGAGGTGCAGAGACCCAAGTAGCAGCTATTTGACCAAGTTCACATAGCTAGTTCTTATTAGAGCCCACTTTGAGCTCAAGCAGCTTAACTCCAAGGTTTGCAGAAAGCACTGGACTATGCCACTTCTCTGGGAACATAAGAGACGGTCAACTGGCCAGAAGCTTACAGGGCTATCTCCTCGTGAGGTAAAAATGATGTAGAAAACTAGTACTTACAAGAGGTCAAACTAAAAACCACAAGCAAGCACTAATAAGTGAGACAGATAATGACCTCGACATTGCTATTCTTATCGCTGAACAGGAATAGAATTAGAACTGGATTTTTAATCCAGTTTGTTTTTTTCAGTTTCACCTACGATAAAATTCATTTGAATTGGGGAGGAATATTTCCTTAATTCAGAATTGTGGAATTGCTAAAATGTTTGGGATGTGGTTATGTTTCTTTCTTTTAGGCTTATCTCCTGTCTCCCCAGCCCCTCCCCCATTTTGTCTGAGCACATCAGTGTTAGTGGAAGGGCTCAGGTCCACCTCCACATAATCATGACATTAGTACCAAACCCCTGTCGCTCAGCCAAGCCAAAACATTGACACCTGGTTGCAGTGATGGAAAATAGGCATTTATCGCATGGCGCCAGCAATGGAGGACAGGCAGTTAATGGTGGAAAAAACCTGAACTCCATGATAGCTTATAGACAAGGAATTTTAAAGGAAAAGTTCATGGGTTGGGATCTTGATATTTCTGACTGGTTGAATCTCAGAAGACAAAGGGACAGCTCCAGGTCTCTGATCATCAATCTTCTCTGGCTCCCATTCTTCTGGGGTCCTTTCAGTCGGTATTTGGTCAACATTTATCATCTGGTGGAGTGTTAGCCCCTGTAAGAACGGCTCAAGGATGCATGTCAAGTTATTGTCTTTGATCTTCAAAGTCTGGTGACTCTGATTTATGGTTCTCCTTATTGCTTAGGTTACATCCCTGTTTGCTCAGCTGCTTTTTGTACATGCTTCCTTAATTGCTAGTTGTTAAGCTCGGTTCCTTAATTGATAGTGGTTGAGTGCAGTTCCCAGATTCTAAACCACTTCACATTTCAGGGACCAAGGCATGTAAGTTCTGAGGGACTTTATCGGGGTGGGTTGGAGGGATACTACCTGCTTGGTTTCAGGATTAAAGGCCAATGTGGAAGAAAACCAGCAACACAGCATCTATTTTCTTTGCCGTTAACACATAAATTTGTGA